ATCACAGGTTGTTTTGCATGGTTATTTAAACTATAATAGAATTTTAAGTTTCTGAGGTGGGGCCTTCCTGGGGAAGGGGACTGGGAGTCACTGGAAAAAACAGGGACTTAAGATTCAGACTGAACCTGTACTCTAATTTTAGCTCTCCACTTACTCGCTGTGTAATGTTGCACAAAATTACTTAACTTCTCTGAGTTACTTTTCTCCTCTGCAGTCGGAATCTTCATCATCATCGTTATCATCATCATCATTTTCCCTATCTTTCCGGGTTGTTGGGACGATAAACGGTATAGTGAATGTAAAGTATTTTCTTCATACAGTACTTGGCACAGAGTAACTATAACTATTAGTTCTGTTCTCCCCTTTCTGTATTTTACTTAAACCATACACGGTAGGAATGCAACAATACTTGTTAAACTGAGTTGAAAAGTAAACTTGTACATGTGACTCAATCCTTTACTTAGTTATAATACTGAAAAGATAGCTTCAAGGGACAGATACAACAGTGTACCCACTCACACATTGACAAGCTGTCTTCTCACACACAGATACATGTGTAACAACAAATACACGAATATCACACATGCTCAGACATCTCTTACACACCAGAAATGTGTACATGGTGTTATGTCCTCAGTTGGTAGTGCCAGGAGTACAATATGGCACCAGGAGTACAAAGAGAGTGTGCTTTGGTTTCAGTAAGAACTGGGTTCAAATTCTAGCTTACTACTTGTGTGATCTGTGGCAAGTGACATAAGCTTTCTGAGCCCTGGTTTTCTTATCTGTAAAATGGAGGTAATAATAATAGTACCTACCTCACAGGATTGTTGTGAAGGTTAAATAAGACAAGGTATGGAAAGAGGCTTCTTCTTGGTTTTGTCACTGCCTGGCAACTTTTCTATTAAGGTTAAACCTGGTTGATACCCATTGTTCTCCTCTCCACCACCTTCTGATCCCAATTTACAGGCTCAAGAGATACCTAACTGGGATATAAGAAGGCCTGTCAAGGGAGGTGACACTTGAGCTGAATCTAGAAGGATACTGGCCAAGAGAGGAGGCATTTCAGGCAGAGGAATACAGTACTATCTCTTGAAGCAGCATGTTAGTGTTTGCAGACTAGTGAGTAATAGTTCAAGTGGGAACATCCTAACTAAGGCTGGAGAGGTATGTAGGGGTTTTGTCTGGATTGTATTTGAAGGACTTTGAGGAGCTATGGAAGACTTTTAAGCTGAAAAACGACAATCAGCTTTTAGACACTGCATTTTAGAAACATTAAAACCATTCACCTTGGTACGGAGAAAGGGGCACGCTTGGGGGGAAGGAGGGTAGTCAGAAGGCAATTATAGTACCCTAGGTAAGAAACTATGAGGTATGAACCAAGGCAGAGGTAACGAGGATGAAGGGGACAAATCAGAGAAATGCTGATGAATTAAATTCCCAGGAAATGCAGTACCTGCGACTGTTCTAAGCATTGACTTATTTTCCCACCACCAATGATCGTCATTTTCTTTTCTTGGCTAAAATTAAAAAATTAAATAACTGATATATTTTACAATATCTGCTAATACACTTTTCTGCTGAACAAGTTTGACATTGAGATTAATCCATGTTTGTAAAGTTTGAAGAGTTTGAGGAGGGAGGCATATTAACACCAGAACACAGGCACAGGCACAGATCTGGAGTAAAAAAGACAGCCAGGCTCTCTTAATTAAGATTCTGTATGTGCCAGGGAAATGGGGTGTGTGTGTGTGCGCGCGCGCGCATGTGTGTGCATGTGTGTGTGTGTTACAATTTGTGGCAGAGGTGGAGGTGAGTATGAGAATGGGGTGAGGGCAGATACAAAATATTACGAAAAACACCACCTATATAACATTCTTGCAAAAAAAAATTTCAATTTAAATATAATCAAATCTTTAGATTTAACTACCACTTTACAGGAAATGGAGCCCTGGTGGCACAGTGGGTAAGAGCTCAGCTGCTAACCATAAAGGTCAATGGTTCAAATCCACCAGCCGCTCCTTGGAAACCCTATGGGGCAGTTCTACCCTGTCCTATAGGGTCGAGTCAGAATTGACTGATGGCAATGCATTTGTTTTTTAACAGGAAATAGGAGCCCTGGTGGCACAGTGGTCAAGCACTCCACTGCTAACCGAAAGGTCAGCAGTTCAAATCCACCAGCCTGCTCCACAGGAGAAAGATGCGGCAGTCTGCTTCCGTCAAGACTGATGTAAAGATTTATAGCCTTGGAAACCCTATGGGGCAGTTCTACTCTGTCCTATAAAGTCACTATGAGCTGGAATTGACTTGATGGCAGTGGGTTTTTTTGTTTGTTTGTTTGTTTGTTTTACAGGAAAATGAGCATTGAAGAAAATGTGAAATGACACTGCAAGGATGCAATCAGCCTTGTTCAGAATGTGGAGCATTCTACAGGGCATATGATCTGATTTCTTCAACAAATAAACCACATACAAAAAAATAAATAGAAAGGAAGAAGGAAAGGAAGAAAAAGGAAGAAATTGTTATGAAGAGAGGCTTAAGAGACATTTATCAGTCAAATGCAGCGTGTAGAGCTTGCTCAGATCCTGATTCAGATACATGAACTGTGAAAAGACATTTTGGAAAGTATTGGGAAAAACTGAACATAGATTGGGTATTTCCTCCATTAATTTTGTAAAGGTATAATAAAGATATGGTGGTTATGTTACATCAGAAGTCTTTGTTAGAGGCACATATTGAAGTATTTACAGGTGAAATGTTATAGTGACTGAAATTTATTTAAAAATACTGCAGGAAAAAAAAAGTGTATGGGAGAATAGATGAAACAAGAGTGGTAAAATGTTGATAATAGTTGAGGCTGGGTGACAGACACATGAAAGTTTATTATTCTATTCTTTCTCTTTTTGTAAATGTTTGAAATTTTTCATCAAAAATTAAATTGAAAAAAATACTATGGGAAAGCCCGAGTATTTTTCTACTCCCAAATGTAAGAAATAACTAGAAGGGAACAATCTCACTGCAACACTTTCAGGAGAAGGGATCATTTAATGGGTGAGTGAAAGAAGAGGAGCCCAGTGGGGATGAGAAGGTAGAAGGAAAACTGGTTTTGAGTGATGGAGGAGCCAAGGAGGAACAGAGTTTCCAGATGGAAGGAGTATCAACCATGTCAAATATTGCAGATGTCAAGAAGGAAAGGATTAAAATGACTCCACTAGACACTAGACAGAAGGTCACTCATGACTTTGGCAAGAAGAATTTCAGTGGAGATGGGAAGATTGACAACTTTTCTAAGAAGCTTGGGTGTGAAGAAGAGGAGAGACGATAGTAATCTTTATTTTCCCCCGAAGGAAGGAGCGTAAAGCATGCTTTTTACGCTTCGTGGAAGTTGCCATTTGAGAGTGGTTGACAATTAGGTGGAAGGAAGAATGAATGACTCACAGAGCAAGGACTGTAATCTAAGAGGGAGTATTGGGAACAAATATGTACATCCCACTGAAGTAGATGGCTTGTTTTACTGATTATGGCCAGTTTACTTCTGGTTTACTGTAACTTCGACTCACTGTTCCAGAGTACATTTCAACTCATAAATCTAACACAACAGCTCTATTTATCTGTTGTCTTGGCTGAAGAACCGAGATCTGTTATGACTGCACTTTAGGCACACTCTTTCGTTCTTGAGTAAAACTGGTTTCTTTGTAGTACACTGAAGGGGTTTCCCTTCTTTTAAAAAAAAAAGTTTTTCACCACAAAAAAATTAGATAAATTCTACTTCTTCCCTGCAAAGGACCCTTAGGACCCTTTAGTTTGTTGCTCTTATTCCAAAAAACTCACCTCTCAACGTACTAGAAAAATCCACAAGAACTTTTCAAGAATTTTTCTCATTCTTATCCACCACCAGCATATAGGATGGTTGAAATCTGTATTTCTAAGTGTTTATTACCCTCTATAAATTACTATAAACTATTAGAATCTCACAAATTACATACTGACTACCCTGCCCAGTTGACCTCAGAATTCTGCGGAAGTGTCGAACTAAAGTGTGTGGGGGTAGAATAGTCTACACTTCAGGGCAAACTTATTCGCAGGGTTAGTAGTGGCCGGGATGTTTTGGGTGTGGGACGAAGGCAGAAAAAGAGGAATGCATAGAAGCACTTCTTTCTCAGATTTCCGGGGGGTGAATGCATGCATCTGATGCCCACGTGGCACGAGATGTCCGCAAGCTGAGTAAGCCCGGGCTGGACATAGAATAGGACTCCAGAGCTACCGGGGCGACTCCGCCCCGCGCAAGCATCCGCGCGCTCCTGTGAGGGCGCGCGAGCACGTAGTCGTCTCTCGCGCAGGGTCGGGCCTGTCAGGCGGGAAATCTCGCGAGATCGGAGACTAGGGTGACTGTCGGGAGGAGGGGAGTGGTGTCGGGGAGGGGGGGAAACCTGGGCAGCGGCTTGGCTCTGTGGCTTCAGGGCTCGTAGGAGCGAGAGAGCGAGCGAGCGAGAGAGAGAGAGGGGGAGGGTGGCAAGGAGAGGGAGTCGGCGTCGCCGCCTGCCTGAGGAGAGAGGAGGGGTCTTGCTCACTCTGAGCTCTTTGCGAGCCGAGGGCGCGAGGCACCCTAGAACCTCTGAGGCCTCCGGGCCCCTGGGGACCCCGCCCCGCCGCCCGCCGGCCGGCCCGAGGCCTCTCTTCCCTTTGTGAGCGCCCCCTTCCCAGGGGTGGTGGTGGTGGCTGAGGTCTGTGCGTGGGCCCGCCCGCCGAGGGGCCGCGGCGGGGGACAGAGAGGGCCTCGGCTGTGTGAGGACGGGAGGCGGCCGAGGCCCGGGCCGGTTCCCCCGAGGCAGCGGTAGCGGCGGCTGCCGGCACTTCCCCGCGCCATCTTAACTGAGTGCAAGTGCTGAAGGCGCCTCCTCGACCCCGGTCGTCCCCTCGCCCCCCCCCCCATTGCCCCTTGTCGCAGAGCTTGGGCTGGGCGGCTCGCTGGGGCTCGGGGGGGGGGGCGGCGGTCTATCGCCGGGCCCCCTCCTCCTCACTCCTTGCCCTCCAGCGAAGCGGCCACTGGAGCGCTGCAGGCGGCTGCGCCCGCCTACCCCGCCCCAGACCTGTCGGCGAAAGGGTAAGGGCACCTCTGTTTTGCGAAAGGGAGACCTGGAGGGGGGCGGGGAAATTCGGCCCACTCAGGCCTCTGCGTGGAAGAAGGGCTGTGGGGGTGGGGTGCGGGAGGGAGACAAGGAGGGTCTGTGATTCTGTGGGTGGGGTAAAGAAGCTGGTGGGCTCGGCGCCCTCCTCTTCTGAGGGGCAAGAGCAATTGCGTTCCTCTTTCCTGAGGGTCACCGGAAGGGGTGGTGGAAGGGGATGTCTCGAGGAAGGTGTGGTCCTCATAGGGAGACTGGGTTGATGTGCACCCCGATTTAAGACTTGAGGTCCCTTTCCCTTCTAGTCCTTCTGCTCCTATCGCTCCATTTCTCTTGTAGTGTCTGTGTATTCTTGGGAAGGGAGACTTCTCTGGTTAGCCTGACTAACTGCTCGATTCCACCCCATTCCCCTCAACGACCCACCCTCAGGAAGTCTGTACCCCTCTTCTTTAGGGGTGATGGAAGCCTTTCTCTCCCCCTCCCCTTCCCCCCTCCCCATCCTCTAGTCTACTGCAATGCCGCAGAAGTCCAAGGCTGTTTCTTCTTCCACAGACCCATGTATACATTGAACGGGGGGCGGGGGGAGAGGGAAGAAATGGCGCTTCCCTTGGAAGGGTTACTCTTTTTTTCTTTGGTTTTTAAATCGATAACAGTACCAGTTTAATACTTTTCCCCTGAGAGCAGTCACTTGGAAGTATATCTGTTTCTGTTGTTATTGTTGAGGGATATAGCCTCTCGAGAGGGACCCCTGCCATGTTAGAACAGTTTTGATGTCTCTCCCTTGTTAAACACTGGATTGACATTTTTTGTGAGCAGGTTGGGATTCAAATAATTCTGTTTCCTTTCATCCCCCTTTTTCTTCCTATGACTTTGTAGTTTTTCAAGAATTGTTAAAGATTATTTCATACAGACAGGCTGTCTGATAGACATTTCTTCTTGAGCAGTGAATTTTTGGAGTTAATACTGTTTTGTATAATACTGAAATCAGAATTTTCTGAAAATGATGAGGTTGCAAACCTTTTTGTAGCAAATGCAAAATAATAGAAGTTAATCGTCATAAGATCTATATTCTGTAGTCAATAAGTCATTTTTTAACTTCTTTTGCTTCAAGCCATATTTGTTTAAAACAAAGCATCTTACTGGTTTGCAGTAGTACTTGTTGGTTTTGTGCTTAGTAAAGAAGAAATAAAATTTTTTTAATATTCTGGAAGTGTTGTCTTGCCAAGTGCTTTTTGGTCACAAAAAACAGTGTTGAAGTCTACTGTTGATACTTTTCTTTTTCTTTAAGTATTAGGTTTACTGATGAAGTGATTTCAAAATGCTCCATATATGAGTATTAAGAGAATTAAATAATTTTTCCAGAAAGTAGTGAAGATGACTGAAATATGTATAGATATGTGTTGTCTTGATATTTTACCGATAAGTTGTACTTGGTGTTTTAGCTTTTCTTAGTGGGTGACATTAAATACTCTATTGCCATCTAGATTTTATGCTGTCATTAAATGTTGTCCATAAGAGCTTTTTGATGCGTATGTTGCATTTTGAAACCTGTTTGAAGTTAGGGATTTAAGGAAGTTGTTAGTAGTGTCTTTAGGCACTAGATTAGTTTCTTTTTTTTAATGATCTTGATATAGGGAGACACATTTGTGGTCTGTTAAATCATTATTTTTTTCTCAGAAAATGGAATTCTCTTTGCTGTCTTTATTCTGTTGATGTTTATTTTAGTTCATTTTAACTTAAACAACATTACTCAATTTGAATCTTTATTTCGTGGCACAAAGCTCTATGTTCTGGTCTGTGGAGTTATCTCCTATCTGGCAAATTGTGCGATAAAATCTAATTCCCTGTATTAGGGGTTTGTATTTGTTGTTGCCAACAATTTGTTGTTGCCAGTTCGTATATACTAGCATGTATAACTTGAAGCATACTGCCGAGTGAAGGGTGACTTTGCTTTTATCCTGGAAAGATGCAGGCAGAGAGGATTTATCAATAAGAGCTACAAAACTTAAGAATGTACACAAGGTATAGGTAAACTACTTGCTATATTTCAGCATGCTAAAACTAAGGGGGTACTCTTTAGGACAACTAAAAAGAAACCCTGTTTTCCATAGCTGGTAGGACCTCTGCTTAAAAGTATGTTCATGATCACTTAAATAAATTCATTATTAAGGAAATTCTGCTTGAGGGTTATTTCAGCTGACCTCTGATACCACTGTTAGAGAATACCGAGAGCTGTTAGTCTGAGTTGACTCCAGATTAGTATGGCACTTCTTATGTTTCTAAATAGTTCGTCGACAAAATGGCAGTGTACATCACTTCCTGTTCTTTCACAACTGGCTCTTTCTCTGGATTCCCCTTTAATGACTTAATTTTTGGCATTTTGTTATCTGATTTGTTAATTTGGTTGTAATTCTCATGTTTTATAGATGGAAGAATTTCTAAGAATCAACTGAGTTGAAAGGTTTTGAATAGTCTAAGATTATCTTGACAGTAACAAAATATTGCTTTCATATTGAAGGATAGTTTCTCAAACAGAATTTAAACTTTGAAAGATTTTTAAGAAATACAACAGTATAAAAGACAAAAAGTATGAGTAAACTGAATATAAAATAATTACTGCGTTTTCTATAATACAGATTTTTGGAAAACTGTGGTTATGGCAGATAATTTATGTTTAATTTAATTAAAGATGTCTCATATCTTATAAAAAACTTGATGAATTAAAATGTTGTTATGGAAGGAGTAGAAACAGTTGGAGCCCTGGTGGCACAGTGGTTAAGAGCTCGGCTGCCATCAAAAAAGTCAGCAGTTTGAATCCACCAGCTGCTGCTTGGAAACCTTATGGGGCAATTCTGCTCTGTCCTATAGGGTTGCTATGAGTCGGAATCAACTTGACAGCAATGGGTAGAAACAATTATTTTAAAATGGGATGTGTCCTTACAACATTTGGTAACAATTATTTACATATCGATCTCTTCCATTTGTGTTAGAAGCACACTTTGTGTTCTGAGCTACAGTCTAAGGCTGCATCTTTTAACTAGTAACAAAATTAGGTGGCCCATAAAAGGTGGGAAAGTATCTCAAAACACAAGTATCTGGCATATAACTAAAGTAAATAAAAGTACAGGTTACAAAGTACCTTGCATAATAGATGTACCAGTATCAGTTGCTGTTGAGTTGATTCTAACTCATGGTGACCCCATGTATGTCAGGGTAGCACTGTGTGCTCCATAGGATTTTCAGTGCCTGATTTTTGGGAAGTAGATCACCAGGCCTTTCTTCCCAGGCACCTCTGGGTGGACTCAAACTGCCAACCTTTTGGTTAGTACCTGAGGACATTAACCCTTTGCATTATCCAGGAACTCCATAATAGATGTACAGCCTACCAAAAAATTCCGGTGTCAGTGATGTCTTAGGTTATTTGTTTAAACTTAACTACATTTAATTTGCCTCTAACTTATCTTTAAAGCTAAGAAGGGGTTAAATTATTTGATCTAATAGTTTTTTGCAGATTTAAAAGTGGGTAAATTACTTCCACATTTAGAAAGATATGCAGAGTTTTTGAGAAAAGCATTGACAAATAATGGGATGGAACAAAACTTTCTGATTTGCAGCTGCCAATAACAACAAAACTGGCACTTAGTATATCTTAGTTTTACCATTTATTAGCTGTGTAACTTCTTTCTTTTAACTTTTTAAGCCTCACTTTTTATATCTATAAAATGAGGATAGTAAGTATCTACTTCACAGGGTTGTTAGGTTTAACTGGCATAACCCACACACTAGCTGCTTAATTAATGTTTACAAATGAGTACAGGGAATCGAATACTTAAGAATAAATTGCATTCTGTAATTTTCATTTGAAGTTGGATTTATACATTTGGAGCCGCACTTATTTTTTTGAAGGAAATGGTTAGATGATCAGAGTAGTTTACAAACTTTTTGTATCTATAACGGACGATGTAGTACTTAATACTAGTAAGAGTTTTTAATCTATGAGCAATTTTCATTTTCCTTTGCTGGATATAAAGTCAGTCCTAAGGAATGAATTTTTCTTTCCAATTGGTACTTGCCTTTGTTTATTTAAGAATTATTTGGTCACAGTAGCCAAAAGGTAGAAACAACCTAAATATCTGTTAACAGATGGAATATTGTAGTCGTTAGTTACTGTCCAGTCGGCTCTGACTCATGGCAACCCCATGTACAACAGAACAAAACGTTGTGCAGTCCTGTACCATCTTCATGATCGTTGATATGCTCAAGTCCATTGTTGAAGCCACAGTGTATTTTGACCGCTCATCTTCCAGCACTATATCAGACAATATTCTGTGTGATCCATTGGGTTTTCATTGGCTTAGTTTTGGAAGTAAATCACCAGGCCATTCTTCCTTGTCTGTCTTATTCTGGAAGCTCTGCTCAGACCTGTCCACCGTGGGTGACCCTGCTGTATTTGAAATACCAGTGGCATAGTTTATGGCATAGCAACATGTAAGCCACCACAGTACAACAGATTGGCAGACAGGTGGTAAAGTGGAGTATCAGCCATGCAGAGAAATGAAGTCCTCGTACGTGCTACAACATGAATGAACATTGAAAACATTATGCTGAGTGAAATAAATCAGTCACAAAAGGACAAATATTGTATGATCCCACTTACGTGAAACATCTAGAATTGATAGTTGTATAGAGACCAAAGTTTGTTAGTGGTTACCAGGGGTGGGAGGGCGGAGGAAAGGAGGAATCATTGCCTAGGCGGCACTGAGTTTCTGTTAAGGGTTATGGAAAATTTCGTACATATGAAAAATGTTGAAGTGGCAAATGTTTTGTTATATATGTTCGTACCACAATTAAAAAAAAAAAAAAAAATTTCGTGTCACTGTTCTGTCTCCTGGAGCTCTTTTAACCATCCCTGGTTTTGAAGGCATCTAGGGTACTCATGTTCTCCTAAGTCTTTTTATTTAGGTATCCTTTGTAGGTATGC